AAATTAAAACGTCCTTCCAAAGCGGGCGACGGTATTTCGATTCCGGTGACCGACAACTTCTTACGGGCAACTCTCCAACTAAAAAATAGCGCCTACACTTTTGCACAAATTTCACATTTTTTCTCTAAATTTAATCCTTTTTCACTTCTTTTAGTACTTTTCAACTTTTTACTTGTACCTGAAAGAAAAACACATAAATATCTTTCATTAAAGCGTAATATCTCAAAAATATGTATAAAAATGTGTCTAAAAATATTATATATTTTAGGTGTATCAATTCGCCAAATTAGCGTTAAATACACCATTTGACAGAGAGTTGACGCATGATGCGCCAGATTTGATGTCAAACTGCCAAAGATGACTTTTTACGAATTAAGGCAGTTTGAGCCAAATTTTGTGCAAATTTTCAAAGGGACACTTGTTCTAAACACCAATTGGAGTAATTCAATGCATTTAGATACTTTGGAAGGCTCTTTTATGAAGGGATATGTCTCTTGGATCAATGTGCATGTCTTTTGAATTCAAAATAGTTGACTTTTGAACAGACTTTTTGGGGGAATTTTGAATTCTTTTTGGAGGGAGGCAGCCTTTGATAAAAGAGGAGTGTGGTGTGTGTGGCGTGAAGGCGAAGAGGAGAGTTAGAGAGAGAGAAAGTCAAGGGCTCGGAGATTTTCTTTAAGGATTGCAAGAGGAGAGGGAAGGTGGGAGATTTCTTCTTCATTACACTTCTAAGAGAGAATTGAGAGTGCTTGTAAAGAGAGAAAGACTTGGAGAAACTTCTAGGAGTTTGCTTGAGAAGGATTGTGAGATAAGTTGTGTCTTTAAGTTGTGTTATTTTGTAAACTATTTTTATATATGAAATCCATATTTTGTCGTATCCAAAATGTGAATTCAATATTCAAATACGTGATTCTGAGTAGTCTTCTTTATCCTTCTCCTTACTTCTTCTCCCTATTTTGAGAAATGATTTTGTGAAAAATTGAGTTTATTTTATATGGTTTTAAATCTCAATAATTTGTGATGATTTGAACTTCAATCTTTATTTATATTTTGATCTGACCAATTGAGATGTTAAAATGTATTGAGAAACATATGATCCGGAAAATGGAGTATGAGTTCTACAAAAAAGTGAGGATTACAACATGGGGAATGGATGAGAACATCGTTCATGGAATTAAGTGCAAATAAATAGGGAAATAAAGTTGGGTACAAATAAATAGGGAAATATACTTTGTTGCAGAATTGAAGATTTTAAGGTGACAGATTAAAATCCCCAATTTGGTCAAGTTGATTGGAAACTGATGCAAGATTGTTAGCCCTCAGGGGAGGGAGTAGTGGGAGCTCTGGAGTGGCAACCGATACCCTCCCAGCCTAACCACAAAATTAGGGACCAAACTCTGGATTAGTCAATGTTCTTTATGCACTCGGAAGAGGGTAAATAATAGGATTGGTCATATTTAGCACAAAACAATTTATATATATTTTTAAAATGATTTTAATTTCTTCACAATCAATATACTCATTATAAAGGGGAAGGATTTTTTCTTTAATTTGAACTTTTCATCATAACATCTTAGTTTTAATTTTCGTAAATTTACTTTTGAAAGTTTAACATTAAGATTAGCTAACTTTGTCTTTCAACTGCATTTTAATTAACATTCACTTATTACTTAGCTTTCAAACTTCACACTTCACTTTTTGTATTTTTAAAAATTGTACTTCACATTATAATCTTAAGAGCTTATTCATAGGCATTTCCAACTTCCATGTGGAATCACTATCTAGGACTCCATTAGAGCCCTTTATTACTTGAGCGATACATATACTTGCATTATTTTTAAACGGGATTTGGCGGTTTAAAGATTTTTAAAGGATAAAACTATTTTAACTGAAGTTATTTTGTTGGGATTAATTTGCATATTTGCATTGTATCTGTCGTGTGCATTTTGTAATATTGAAAAAAGTTTCCAAATTTAACACACTAAATCCACCCGCATGACGATCAGAAAGAACTCTTATAATACATATGGTTAACAATTTGATGATACTAATGCACTCAGAACAATATTAATTCATGGACATCTTCACTGGGCTGTTATTCCTAAAATTTAGGTTAGTCCACCAATTAACCTCCTTAAGAGTTAGGTTTATTCCAAAATTATGGCTTGACTTCTATCTAAAAATTTTTCAAGACAATCCTCATTTTAGATTAGGGTTATTATCAATTTTAACTTACCTAACTCTAATTGAATTCACATCCATACCTCAATTCCCAATTTCAAACCTAAGTTTAATTCAATTTAAACCCAATCCCAAACTAAAATTGAATCTCAAATTTCGATCCCTAAACTTCGATGTCAAGTTCCTATTTTAAAAATTTTAATCGTTGGTTGAAAACCTACCATTCCAATATAAATTGATCAAACTAGCCCAAGTCCTCAGCTCAAGTAAACATATTACGTTTATTCCAATTCCATTCAAACCCTTCATATTATAAATCTTTCAAATTTCATTCATGAATATATATCTTCACACACACACTTATTATTAATTTTGCATTATATAAGTCAGATTCTTAATTGAGAGTATTCTTAGAAGCCATAACTTTTGAGATATAATTAACTATGAGGGAGCACCCTCATAGAAAAATACAAAATGTTAAAAAACAATCCTTATCATATGTTGTAAGGTGATGGAAAAAACCACCGGTTTCAGAAATTCACTAATTAAGGAGATTTTTCTCATTTGAATGGCCAATCTCATTCAAAGATGATATTCCTATCCCTCGGGATAGCATTTCATTGTTCAAATGTCGTGCTTGAAAAGTTAGATGTTAGTCTCCTTGAATACCGTGATGAATACAAAAATTCCCATATTGATTAGTAAAATTTTTTATTCAAATTATGATAATAACACAATAACAACTTTAAGTTTTTATCCCACTAAATGTGCTCAGCTAGATGAATAATTTTCTCCATTATGTCCTATTAAGTGTCATATTTTAATTTAATTCTAATAAATTAATATCATTTTTTATACAATATACCCAATTATTTTTAGGTCCACCTCTACATTTATTAACATGATTCAAATCTAAATTATTTACTCGCCTAATAAGGTCATCACGTGGTCTTGTTTAATGTGACCAAACCATCTAAGATGACTCTCACTAATCCTATCTGTCATTGGAGCCACTCCAACCCTTTCACGGATATATTAATTTCATCTTTTATCTCTATTTTTAAAGCCACTGATCCACCTAAACATTCTCATCTAAATGCACTTAACTTAATTTAATGCTTTTCTTTTACTGGCTAACATTCCATGCCATAAAGCATTGCATGTGTCACCACCATCTTATAAAATTTTCCTTTACAACTAAGTGGTACTATTCTATCACACAATAGACACGATGCATTCCTCCACTTAAACCATCCACCTTAAATTCTTCTAATAACACCACCTTCTTGTAAACTTTTTTATTAAAATTCTTACATCAAAATCCATTCTTACTTGTATTAATTTTTGGTGATTTAACAAATATCAAATTTTTAAAAATAATTCTTTAGCAATAAGTTTGATTTAAAGAGATGCTCATTTTATCACTTGTAGAGAAAAAAAAAACATGTTGCAAGAAAAATGATGGTTTTTTATTCATTCGAAGTGGAAAATTAAAATTTAAAATTATAGAAGGTTTTTTTTTGTAAAGTCTAAAATTAATATTGTTGCTTAACTACAATCAACAAAATAGTAAATTGAAATTTTCAATGAATTTAATAAACTTCTTTATTTTATGAAAGATAATTTATAATATTTACTAAGTAAAGGAGAGTTATCTGATTTATGGTCATTATGAACTTAAGTTAGCCATATTCCTTTTTTTTTCTTTTCATATACATACGGGTTAATTCTAGATTAATGTAACAAACTATGCCAAATTTAACCATACATAAATTCAAGTAAGTGGACACTATGAAAACTTGAGTTTCGCTTACTTATTTGAATGTATAATCACCTTCATTTCAGGAAACAAGTTTTTATCACAATATAAGCATGATGTCATTCAATGATTTATCAATCATATATTCATGGGTGTGATGATTAAGAATTCTTTATATATGACTTCCCCCCTCATTTAAATTAAAGATGTGGTTGACCTTGAACATTTCAAAGATCAAGTCGAAATTGAAAATTTTTCCCACAAATCAAGGCCCATGAATAACATCTCCACATTTTGCATAATGGTTTTAAAACATTCTTCTAACAAGGAAAATGATCCCTCCTTTCAAATGCATTAGCTTTTGTATTTATCTTTTTTTTTTTTTTAAATTTTTTTTATGAATCTCTATTCTTATGATATTTTTTTTAATGTTCACGCACTTTGTAGTGGAAAACTTGATGATAAATTTGTCCTATAACATGGTGTCCTTTCATGATATAAATACTTGATGAGGAATTATTTTTCTCTTATGCATCTCTCTTCTACTTGCCATTCTCCAACCTCTTAAACAATCTCCAGTCCTTCGACATGCTCTCAGCTTTCGTCGCAATTTCTATAAAATTCAAACTCTTATTTTAATTTAACTCTAAACCTTTCCTCTTTCTCCCAACAACATCCACTATCTCCAATGCATCATAACCATAATAAAACCTTATTAGCTCTTAACCAAAACCCTTGCAACCTCAACCATAGCCTCCCTTAGTCCTATTAACATGTGCTTTTGCTAACCCCAAGCATCTCTAATATTCATCATCCACTTCTTTTATATCATCATAAATGAAAAGAATTTCATTAGATCAAAACTTTACAAAATTATCAAACTTCAATTAACATCAAATATGTTAAAATTCCATTTATTTAATTAACAAAAAACTTAACATTTTAACTCAACAAAGATTTAAATTTGAAAAGCTTACTATTTAACTTGGTTTAGCTTTTTTTTTAATTTTTTTATTTATCCTATTTTCGTTTGCATAAATAAACCACAGGACCCCTCAGGAAAAACCTATAGGCTTCAGAGACAATAGGTTTCTCTTCTCATCTGGTTTCCTCTCCTGTCCATGAAATTTCTTCAGTTCTGCTAACAAACCTCTCCAAACCCTCCGCCCCCTTTCCCTCCGCTTTCAACTTTTTGTTCCCTGTACGGTCTTTTCTTTATACTCTCCTTTGTCCACCTCTATTGTCGTCAGTAATGGGCGCCGCCATCGGCGACGCCGAAGAGGTGGAGAAGCTCTACGAGTACGGTGAGAGGCTCAATGAAGCGAAGGACAAGGCACAGGTGTCCCCCTCCTCCGTCTTCTTTCTTAGTCAATTTCCGTTTGAATTCCCGGGCTCTTGGCTATTGTTTAATTGCCTGATTACTGGTGTTTTGGCGCCAACGTTTGGGGTTTTGGATGTAGCATGTCAGTGACTACGAAGGGATTTTAAATGCTGTGAAAAGTGGCAGCACAAAGGCCAAACAGTTGGCGGCGCAGCTAATCCCGAGGTTCTTCAAATTTTTCCCGGAGCTGGACAAGCAAGCTATAAGCGCGCAGTTTGATTTGGTTGAGGAAGAAGAACTTGCGGTGAGTTTGGCTTTGTTTTCTTCTTCTCGCAATCTAATAAATCATATAATTAGCTTCATTAACCCTTCAATTTTTTGCATGATTTTCTTGGCTATCGGTGTTAGTAGCCCATTTTTTTAACTCGGCAACTTATATCTGTAATACCTTATGCTGATTTCGGGTATAATGTCCTCTGCTGGGTTATTTTCAGGCTATTCCGAATCAAATATTCGCGTATTTATGACGTATTTTTTTGTTATAAGAGCTGAAATCTTTTTTAGATAACTCATCTGTCTCTATTTTTTTTGGCATGATAGAAATTAAATTTGGCTAAATTCTAATAAACTTATTGGCAGATTGTTTTCAGATTTATAATTTAATGATGGAGGATAAGAGGCACTATAAGGATTAGTGGTGTAGATCTCTTAAATCCTACTTCCTAAATACAAGATTCAGTCTAAGGCTGTGTTTGGTAGGATAATTTAAAGAGGATTTAGCCATGGATTTAGTGTAAATCCAACCAATCATCAAATACATGAAAATTAAATCCATCGCTCAGTTAAATCAAAATTTTTTGCATTCTATCTTTTCTTCCCTCGCTCTGTCTCTTTTAGGATGTAGATTTGGATTCAGTACATCCAATTGTGAGACGGATTTAAAAATTTCTTTCGGCCGTTGCTCGTGAGTTCATCTTTATTGCACTGATGATCGGATTTACTGGATTTGATAAATCCTATTTAACGTAAATTCAATCTGCAACCAAACACAACCTAAAGTTGAAGGAAAATGGGATTTAAGTAAGCTTTAGGATTTAAATGGCTCCAAAATTTTTTTGACAATATTTAGCCTAAACCATAAATAGATCTAAGAAAGGGAATTTGGTTGGCCTCACTATAGATTGATTGTTGTCTTTTGCAATGTTAGCATCAAAGTTAAGACTACATCCTGACGAAATATGGAGGTAAATATTGAGTACATTTTGTTGATGTAGAAAAGACTTTCTATTACAAAGAAAGATGCGGAACAAAGAACCAACTAAACTGGTAGTCACAATATTTAAATCAAAACCTAAGAAATAGGGAAAGCTCCGTCCAACTTTATTTTGTAAATTTTTTATCAAGGGTTTTGAATAATACCGCCTGTAAGATTACATCTTTCTTATAATTTCTTCTCATTATCATTAGCATTAATTTAGTTTCTCATGAATCCCTAAAATTTCAAACTTTTGTCATGAAACTCTGAGACCCCAAGTCAAGATAAAAAGTGACTTTGGACTACAAATTTGATTAAATTTATGAACTATGTTTAAATGAATAATATCTGATTGCATATAAATGGGCTATTCGAAGTTCCCATTTAAGCTTATTCCGAATAAACTTGATGGTTGCCTAATCCTCCAAAACCACCTAATGGTCGAACTAGCTATTACTGCTAGTAGCAAGTGAAATGTGGTCACATGTGTGCCCAAAAGTGCTTGCATGAGGCCTAGTTCTTAAAAAAATTGGAAAAACAATTAGCTTCCAAATTTATTTAATATGTGAGTTATATTAAAGTCATAATCATTTTATATAAATTTTTTTAAAATATAATTATAAGCACTTTATATTATAGAAAATATATTGGATTATTCCTACTCTACCACAATTGTTACATTGAGAACCTAACTTCTTAAATCTTGAATTTATTATTGCAACCTTGATGTTTGTTGAATTTTTCATATGAAACTTCTCTCCAAGTTACATGAACCTTAAACTTGCAACACTAGGTTCATCATCTTTATGGTTGGCTTTATTAGTTAATGTGTTAAAACTTAGCAAACTATTAAATGGCATCAATAAATTTTTGTTGTTGTCAAACCATGGATGAGACAATTTAGGACGAGGTGTAAACATGGTCTCCCGCACTCAACAATCTCATTTTATGTAACAATTTAATGTTGGCTCAGGGAGGATATACAATATAAACAAATAAATATAACTCTTCTTCACAAGATGCATAAATAAAATCAACACTCCCCTAAGAGCATGCATTTAGTCACATCAAGTATGATATTCTCCAATCGCTATAAACCTTCCGCTATTGACATAGTGAAAAATGTTTAACATGAATTCAAATAGTTGGTGATATCAAACAAAGATGATTCTACTATCAAAAAATTTAAATACAAAAAAATCAAGAAAGCTTCGGTAAAGTACAAATCAAGGCATAAGTTGTTAGATATTGCTTGAAATAAATTTATAATTTGTTCGAAAATATGTCAATACCTCTCTTTTGAAATTGAAAAGCCAATATTTATTATTTTATATAATAAAGGGTTAAAACAATGTTTCAATGAAAATATTTAGCAATAACTAAATCCTATAGAATCAAATTTTTAGTTCATTTAAATCTAGTTATGCAATCTTGATGTTTAATACAATTACTCATCAAAAGTTCTATTAAACCAAACAGGCCATGTTCAAAAGCTAAAGTCAAATGATGGACACCAAAATAAAATCTATACAATTGTTATTAACCTAGCATGCTTATAATTAGCTTCATCATGGCGTGTATACAATTGCTTTCATTATAGATTCCTTATGGAGCAAAACTAACACATAACGAAATTAGTAAGCACATATGCATGTACTTATGATTCTTTGATTGACAGAGTTTGTTAGACTCTTGGGGTTACGGGTTCGATCTTGTGCGGGATGGAATTTTTAGGCACATGAAGTTGGTCGGGAGGTTCGTCTAATAGTCTCTGATCAATCTTTATACACACACACACACACACACACACATACACACACGTACATATACACATACACATATACACACAAACACAAACAGATACATATAAACATGATATGTATGTATTTATATATATATATATGTATCTGTATGTGCGCATGTTTATATGTATCTGTTTTTGTTTGTGTGTATATGTGTATGCGTATATGTACGTGTGTGTATATATGTGTGTGTGTGTGTTTGTATATATATATATATATATATTATATATATATATATACACACACTCACATACCGTGCTGCATGCCCTTCCTTCGCCTCCTCCTTTTTAGCTTTACCGGCGGAAACTTCCTCTATCTGCAGGCTTTAGCCTTTGAAACCATCTCTCTGTTGGCTTTACTCATCGAAACTCTTTCCTGCAAGAATTTTTATGATTCTTCCTTTTGCCCACATTGCCCGTTAAGAAAAGTTGCCTCACAAGGCATGTTGACCGAATCCAAAAGGGGTGATTCGATTTGTCTTAAAGCAAAGTTTTTGGGCTCAAGATAATGGTGGAACGACAGAGATTTGCAGAGCCGGCGCTGATGATGTTGTTGATGGCGATGATAGCTTGGGCAGTAGTGGAAGGTGAAGCAGTGCCTGCAGTGGATGAGTCTGATAATTTATTCCTTCACAAAACTGATGAGCATTTTCATTGTGGTCAGTTCTATGCTGTCTTCAATCCGTTTATCTTCTACACTAGTCTTTTTATCCTCTAGGCTTCTCAGGAGGTTTTCAAGGACATACTTCATGAGTTAGTAGTGTGGAGCAATCCAGACGATGCAGACCAGGGTTCTCTTGCTAGTTACTTTGTAGATCTACTTAACAAGTCTATGTTCCATCCACCTATCAATGGTACGAAGCTTGATGGAATCTATCATCTTCCTTTGAGAGATCAGATGGATGCTTCCTATTACTATTTCAAGTTACATGGGAGCATTCTATGTGAACCTAACAACCTGATAACATTTCTCAGAGCACCATGGCTGACACTTTTGTATTGGTGCTCCTGACCAGGCCTACCATTGGGGTTTTTTGGCACGAGTAGTGGCAGGAGAATGTCGGGTACGACACAGAGCTTCCAGTCATGCTCACCCAAGCTGCAGTCTGCCTTGGGATTATCGTCGTCACACGGTTAGCTGTCTGAATCTGTCAAAGCTGTGCTATAACCAAAGGTTGGATAAGAGCGTCTTCCTCCTCCTTCCCGTATTGGAGGCCACAGTCGCATGGTCCTTACCAGTCACACACTGTACCATTCTTTCTTATCTCGATAACAGTTCACTCTGTTTTCGGCTGGTCGGTTTACTTGCTTGGAGCCATCGCTTTGGCTTCCATTGCAATCAACTCGTCTCTTCTCTCGTTGCTCTTGGTCTTACCACCTTGGCTTGCGATGTTGGGAGCTTTGGGGGTGATGACTTATCTATGGTACTCTAATGGTGTAGTGAGGGTGCTGGGTGGATATATTATCAAGAAGAGGGAGTGTCCAGTGATGTCTTCCGACCAACTTTCTATATTTATTTTGTGCAGGTGTTTTTGTGGCTGCTTATGTGGTGGAAGCCCATTCAAATCATTATCGTCCTGTCCAAGATATTTTTTATAGCTGCATTATTTTTTGCTGCCATTGATTTCCTTTTTTATAGTGGAAGGTTTTTTCTGATGTTGCAAAGCTTTCCCGTTAAATCGAAAGTAAGACAAGGAATTGCATGAAGTTGGATATGCGACAACCATATGCTTTAGCTGATTATTGATTAGATGCATCATGAATTCATGATGTGCTTCAATGCATTAGACAAAGCTGTAGACATTGATGCATAAACCCTAGAGCTTTTTCTATAGTAGACCCTTCCTCCAGAGGTTTTCCCTGCATCAGGCCATCCTTCGAAATCTTTCTTGCACCCTCCTCCAGTGCTTTTCTTGCAGCAGACTCTCCTCCAAAGCTTTTCCTGCAGTAGGTCCTCCCTCTGAAGCTTGCTTATTTTTTCCTTTTTTCAACAGGCTCTCCTTTGAACTTTTTCCTCTATCAGGCCCCCCTCAAGAGCTTTTCCTGCAGCAAGTCTTCAACTAGAACTCTTCGAGCAGTAGACCCTCCTTTGGAGCCTTTTTGCATCATGCCCTCCTCTGAAGCTTTTTCCTACAACAGACCCTTCTTCGAAATCTCTTCTGGAACAGACCCTTCTCTGAAATCTTTCATGCAGCAGACTCTCATCCAGAGCTTTTCCTATAGCAGACTCTACACCGGAGTTTTTTCTGTAGCAGGCTCTCCTCCGGACCTTTTTTTGCAGCAAACTCTCCTCCGGACCTTTTTCCTGCAACAAGGCCTGCCTTCGGAGTTTTTCCTTTTTTTCTACAGGCCATACCCTACAACTTCTCCTTTTGGTTGTTTACTTTTCTGCAAACCCCCTCTAACATTACCTGTGGTAGCCTTCCACTTACTTACAGATATTGCAGGAACTGCAGCCAAAGACAACCGCAGTCAACTTCCGAGGGTTGTCAACTTCTCAACAACATTACTTGTAGGAGTCTTCTGCTTACCTACAAATACTGCAGGAATTGTAGTCAAAGACAACTGCAGTTAACTAAAAGTCAGCTTTTCTTGCAGGTTGTCTACTTCCCTGTAAACTCCCCCGCAACATTACCTGTAGGAGCCTTCCTCCTACCTACAGATACTGCAGGAACTGCAGTTAATGACAACTACAGTACAGGATGAATACTTCAAGCTCTACTTCACAGGATCTTTCTCTCCTATTGTTTGATGTTTTCAATTCCAAGTTGAATATGATTTTTTACCATTTTTCAACTTGAGAGGTAGTGTTAGATTTTATGTTATGAAATAATTTATTCCTATTAAAAGTTTTGAGGATTATATTTATTTCCTAATATAATTTTATTTCCTTTCTTGTTTTAGAATTTTTTCTATTGAATTTGATTTATTTCCTTTTCTATTTTAGGTTTTCCTATTTTATGTTTTTTTCTACGTCTCCAAATAGTTAATATGAATTGATTAATTAGAGATATTATGTGTTATATCTTTCATTTTCATTTTATTGGACTTGCTATTCTAGGATTCATGTAAGAGTTATTTATACCCCATTTTTATATGAATAAAATTGTTCTGTATTATTCTGAATTTCAACAGTTTCATTTTAGAAAATGAATAAATGTTTCACTTTAAGCATTTTATGCCTGCATTTTCATCGTCTTTTTTGGATATGCTAATTGTTGAGCTTTAGTTTATAGCATTGATTCTTTTTTCCAAGCTTCTATATATTAGTGGGACTGGCATCCATCAGCCATCATTTACGATTCGGAGACTCTTTTTTCTTCTTTTTTCCTAGTCTTCTTTTTTGAGCTATTAAGTTCTATTGCAATTTTTAAGTTGTGTTTTATTTTTGGGGCAGGTGAGAGTACAGGCAATTCGAGGTCTTCCTCTTCTTTGCAAAGATAATCCAGATCATGTTTCGAAGATTGTGGATGTCCTTGGCCAACTTCTTGCTTGTGGTACTATATAGAGTTGTGCTATTGGTTCCTCTTTTCTTTGACCAAATTGCTGAAATAATTTTCCTACCATATTACAGAGGAGAATGTGGAGCGTGATGCAGTACATAAAGCTGTTTTGTCTCTTTTAAGACAGGATGTTAATGGTAACCATCAACTAATGATTTGATCAATTTTGATTAACACAATGCTACTTTTTTTGTTTGTAGGATTCTTGTTAGAATTAATCTTAATTGTACTATGTTCTGGTATCCAAACTTGTGTTTTTTCGAAACTTAAATTTATGCTGCTATATTGAAATATGAAACTCTTTGTTTTGTTTACTTCAGGTTTTCTCATTGTGGAATTATTGACAACATACACATTGTTCTTTATACATTTTTATTGTTATTTTGTGGAAATTTGTAGTTCTTGCTGTTTGGCTGGTTCAGAAATCCATTTAGTGGTTTTCAAGAAAACGTGAAAGTGCTCATCATGCTTTTAAAGAAAATTATAGTCATATAAATGGATAGAGTGAAGAAGACTTTCATTGTGTGGAATGATTAGATGGATAAAGACGTCATTGGAAAAGCTAGGGATATGCAAATTCATGGTAATCTGAAAGTGAAAGTCAGACAATGAATGAGATGCATAGTATGTGCTATATGAAAGCTGAAACTTAAGATGGTGATTAGCAAGAAGCTAACAAAACTTTATCTCTGGTAGTCACGAGATAACTCTTATCATGATAACTCTCTAACTATAATTTTACCAATATTTGCTTGGGAACTGCTTTGGGACATCTTTCTGCTTGTTTTACTTTTCAGACTATCATTACAGTTCTGTTCGGGAAAGTGATTTCTTGCTGCTTTCTAAAAATTTCTGTGGTAGAATACATTCTTTTTTTTGCTGCTTTCTAGAAATTTTTGTGGTAGAATGCATTCTTTTTTCAACCTGAGCTTTTAAATTGTGGTGACTGTCATAAAGTTGCAGTCTGACTTTTTGAAAATAAAATAAATTTCTAATAGCTATTGTAGCTTTTTGAAAAACAGTTTTCTATGCAGCTGTGAAACAGTTGCTTGTTCAAACAGTTGCAGCTGTGCTAAATAGACCATAAATACTTTCTTCCATTGTTTCAGGATGGGTTGTCTGTTTCCTTTGAAATTTATTATTGCACTAACTCTGTCCATTTCCTAAAGTCTAGAATGTGGTATGTCACACTAGCATTAATTACTAACTTGATTTAGTCATTGATTTGGTGTAGATTTTATATCTGAGTGCCCTTTAGTGGATAGATATAACATGCTGAAAAGAGAGCTAGAGTTTATGGTTGGAGAAATAAATGAACATGAGTTGGATGAAAGAGGATGAGCTGTTCTCATTTTAGTCTAGGAGGTGGTGAAGAGGGAAGGCAAGTGAGAATACCATGGTGAGTGGAAGACATGTGTTAAGGTTGAAGAAGTTGAGATCTGAGGAAGGGTAGCTATTTCCTATTACTAAGGAAATAAATTTTCTAATTGCTTATGATTTCTTTCAAATTTTGTAGAGCCTTAGACGGATTTGTTTAAATATGCAGTGTTTCTGCAAGGTTTGTCTTCTTTGGGTTACCTTAACTCTGGTATTAATACCTTAACTCTAGCATTAAAACTAAGTTGGTTTCAGGTTTTTGGCAATTTGAATCCATTGAGGGAGTTGGCTTTTACCTAACCAGCTTCTATGGGTCTGTTTGAAATGGTTTTGCAGTCTTACTGGGTTTCACATGACCAAGCTCTAGGCTTATGTTACATGGCTGGTTTTATAATTCAATGCTTAAAATCACTTTTTTTAATTTTCTAATTTGTTTGCATTCACCCATTTTGAAAAACATCAATGGTAATGGCATCCCTAATGTTGGGAAATATTTATCATTGCCTAAAATATTTTGCTTTCTATTGTGGTGTATTCACTGCTATATGCATCCCCTGGCTTATTTAGTTATGTATACTATGTTCTGCTGAGCTGGTATTTTGTTGGATTCTACTCCTCTAAGAAGAGAGATGGAACAATGGATGAAGGGGCTACGGCATGCTATTTTAGATGGAACAATGGATGAAGGGGTTAGGGCATGCTATTTTAGTTAACTTTTTTTTTTCTCGTATTACAATGCTAAGTTTACATGATTGTACTACACAGATTGAAAGATATTGTAAAGTCACAAAAAACTTGAGTGAATATCATGAGAGACTTGTCCAATTATATTATAAGAAATTTGGTCGTTTGCTATGTGATTATAATTCAACTTTTTCCCAGGTATAGATGGTTTGGTCACATTAAACGTCGACCATCTGATGATCCGATTAGGAGAGTAGATGTTTTAGATTCGACTTATGTTAAGAAAGGCAGAGGTAGACATAAGAAGACTTGGGCTTATTGTATAAAAAATAATCTTAATTTATTAGAACTAAATGAAAATATGAAACTAAATAGGACGTAATGGAGAAAAAGGATTCATGTTCCCCATGTAGTGGGATTTAAGGCTTTGTTGTTGTTGTATTTCCCATATATCAGCACATTCAGTTGATCATTCCATACCCCATAATATCAGTTGCATGCTTGCCATATATTAAGACTTATACCGGTGTTGCATTAGGAAGTAGAATACATCAATTTGCCTATCCAGATTAGATTTCAAGTGTTTACTTGATACTATGCTTAATGGCTGTGGCTAGAACAAAACAACTATAGATTTATTTTTTTTAAAGCTACCATGAAAATGATTTATTTTTCAAACAACAATGGTTTAAAATGTTCTACAAGCATAGTTGATTTACTTAAATGTAACATACATACACTGGCATCTAATTTGCATTTATAATTTTGCAGCTTCTTTGACCGCTTTATTTAAGCATGTTGAGATAGGCATGGAAAACATCCGTGAAAAAGTTATTGCTTTCCTTAAAGACAAGGTGAAACCTTATATCAATTTGTATGCTTTTTAGTTTTCTTCTGTTCTTTCTTCCTTTTTCTCAAAGGCTGAAACATGTCCCAGGTGTTTCCTCTCAAAGCTGAACTGCTGAAGCCTCAAGTTGAGATGGAAAGACTTGTCACTGATTTGGTGAAAAGAGTATGTTAAATTTTATTATTGTCCGCCAGGGGCAGTTGTTTTTTTGTGTGAATCAATATTATTTTCTGCTCAGATGGTGTTAATGGATAGTCTTTTTGCCTCTCAGAGTTTGCAGGATGTTACAGGGGCAGAATTTAAAATGTTTGTGGATTTCCTTAAAAGTTTTAGCATATTTGGAGAGAAAGCTCCTCCAGAGCGTGTCCAAGAACTTATTGAGATTATTGAAGGGCAGGCAGATCTTGATGCACAGTTTAATGTAAGCGACTGCATGACTATGCATTGCCAAGTTAGGTATTTTTTTTGAGATACGAGCTGTCACCCGGTGCACAGGTTGTCGTTTTAAAAATGATTTGAAGCTTAATATCTTGTCTTTGGGATATTACTTTTAGAAACCTTTTCCCACTACAAACGTTGCACTTGATGTGCTGAAAATAAATGGGGTCATAGATTTACGCCATTACCAGAACTTGTGAATCAGAAATTATTGTTGAGCTGGTGTGCATCCATGACGTTGCTACTTTTGAGAAGGTTTTTCTTGCACATGCGTTTCAATCACTTGTTATGATATTCTATGACATTTTATGTACGACTTAACGCTACTATTTCATATTCAAAAGATCTGTAAACTTTGCTTAGATCATAAAACCCACTGTTATGTTGTAGTCCCCTTTACTGTTCCATATTTGTGGTTAGACTCCCATATGTTATTATTCTTTGTTGAAAACACTTAATATTTTATCTTTTTTCTTAAATTCCTTTAAAAATTATTAACTTTCGCTAGACAAAATCCAAACTTTATAAGTTTCTTTAGTACCTCCTTTAAACTTCTCATTTTCTGTCATAATGGCCGATTTTTATATTAAGTTAGAGATGATGGAAGGATTGGTGGCTTTCTCTAGAGCCAAAAAAAATGGTACAGGTAAGCATAATATTTACTTGCTGTTAAATAAATGAACTTGAACATGTAAAATTTTAACTTGAACTCTTAAAAATCTTTTATACCGATTGTAAACATTCTTCAAGGATTTAACAAAATCTCTGCGTGTTTCTCTTTTCTCATTTTGGCGTTGGATGGGGGTTATTATGAGGGATGACAAGGAGGAAGAATATAAATTGAAGTATAATCATGGGTAGGTTTGTTGCAACTAATGCAAGGAGCCGAACAAAGTTCACACTAATAAAATATTGGAATCTATCATAGAAATCTCGAACACCCTACTTTCTCGGTTTTGTAAACAATGATTGGAACTCTAAAGCATTTATTGCACTCTTTTATTCATGAAGAAAGCAATTATAAGGTATAATCATATATTATTGACAATATCTGCAACGGAGAATATGAAAGTCTTCTGATTTTTTTCGATACCATATCGATCATTGCCACATCTTACAATTTGAACGAGGCATTATGTTCAGGTTTTCTGCTTGTGCCTACGAGCAAGGGATTATCTGGATTATTTTTTATGCTGCAGGTCTCAGATGTAGACCACATGGATAGGATGATCTCTTGCATGTTTATGGCTTTACCAATTTTTGTGGTAAATGGCTCTACTTACATTATGGTTTTATTTTATCCCATACTAAAATGTTTTCCTATCCTACTTTTTGACTGTTTTGGTTTGTACAGAGAGGTGCTTCAAGCAGCAGGTTCCTTAATTATTTCAACAAACACATAATTCCTGTTTTTGATAAGGTGAACATGTTATTGTCTTTGATTAAAATTTTCTATTTTCGATGAATAGTATCTTTATATTTTAGAAGTGTTTTAGTTTTCCTTAATTTATTTTCAGCATTCTGTTATAACTTCGACATGTGAGTTTAAACTATGTTTTTTTTTATCACAATGAACCTACAAACTATAAATAATTGATTTTTCACCTCACTGAGCATACAGAACCGGTTATACTTCTCATTTATTCTACTGTAACCAATACAGATTAATTTACTGAATGATAGGGGGAAAAAAAAAGAATCATTTAATCATTTATCGTTGATGTGGTTCTTACATATCTGTATGTCTGAAAGTTACTAGTAATTGTGTTATTTGAATGTATCAACCTGTATTTTTTTTTTTGTCTGCTCTAAAGCTTGATACTTGACTTGAAATCTTGCCTTTTGAAGCAACATATGTATTTTTAAGCTTTCTGCTTTGCATCACCTCTTCCGTTCATCTGCAAAGTATGTGCAATTTAGCTAATTACCATTGGCATCCATAGGAAAATAAAGATGATGAAACGAAGTGCATGGTTTTAAACCATATTTTGGCTATATTTTTTTCCAAGGTCTGTGAACTGCCTAGTGCCTTTTAATGAAATTATTGCTGCTAGCACAATTTCATTATATTCTGACGAGAGATGGTTTTGAGAAGGATGAAGTTTTCAGATATATCTAGACTGTCTAATAAGTTCATCTGGATCACCCATATGCCTATCCCTTATGTTCATTGGTATCTAGCAAAATGTGGGCTCTTATTGATTCACATGTAACCTGAGGTTGAGAGAAAATAACATCACGGTGGTGGTTAATAGCTTGGGCTGTATTTAAGGACTGTCAAATTGCTTTATTAATTTGTGACATTATCATAACATTGAAAAACTATTGCCTCGAGTCCGGAGAACATGGCTTTATGGAGGTGTTGAATAGCTTGGACTGTATTAAAGAAGTCTCAAATACTTAATCGATTTTGTACCTCATAATAGAATTACCAATTTCTTAATTAGTTTTGAAGTAAGATGCTTGCAATGTTTATATTTGTGAGTTCTATAGCTTGTTCGGATATTACACATGCTCTTTTTGAAATTGAAACTTTTTATAGCCACAATCTGGTGCCTCTATAAAATTAATTATTATCATGCTTGTCTAATATGTACTTTTGTAACATTTAGCTCTAAGGTATTACTTCAGCTTTCTTTTGCTCCTTTTTTTACTTTTTTCAAGGTTGTTTTCAATTATTTTGTCCTATGTTCAGTCAAAGCACTACCAATGTTTTTCATCTTTCCAATCATAATATGATAATTTCCTTTATAATGTTAATTGTTTTTATCAGCTTCCTGAAGAGAGAAAGCATGATTTTCTTAAAAGTCTTGCTGGAAGTTCACCTTATGCAACAGCACAGGATTCACGTCAGCTTCTTCCAGCAATTGTTCAACTACTAAAGGTATATATATATTTCACCAGAGTCACAAGTTTTGCTTCCTAAACTATTGTTACTTTATTTAGGTTTTTGAAGATGCTTCTTATTTTTCTTTGGAGCTACATTAATCACATTGATCTCTTTCTATGTCTGTGCACCTGAACACCCAATTCTTTCTTGTGCACCTTCAAATTTTTGCAATGAGTGAACTTTTAATCTTAACATATTGACATGGATGCTCTTTTAGAAGTGTTGTATTCATATTCGATAAATAGCGTGTCTGATGCACCATTTTGTAGTCAACTTTAAAATTTTAAAAGAATAATTCGATATTCATTTAGCTAAATAAGAATATTAAGCTATTTAAAATTTCATAAGGAGTGGCCTTATGTTTCAATAATGGACAAATGATATATGTGTGTGTACACACACACACACAAATGCCATTTGTTTATCTTTTTTTCTTAAGCCCAAGGGCAAATATATTAGATAGGAAAGATACAGATAGGTTGGATGAGAGGGTCCAAACTGGAACCCTAAGCACCCGTTATACAACCCGCATCAAGGTTCCAAAAAAGCACATGTATACCCAAAAAATAAAATTATAACGTTGGCAAAACTCTACTCCAAAAGTCTCCAAACACTCGGAGATTCAAACATAAAATGGGAGCTTGAGAACGACCCAATGTATCCTTATCTCTTACTTCTGGTTCTAGGTAGGGAGCCAACTAACAAATGGTTAAGTCTACTGCCATTACCCGAAACAACTAATGTATCATCCATTAAGTTCTTAAGTTCTAGTAGACCTCTATTCTTCTTCTTCTTCTTCTTGGATGTGTAAACCTGCCATTTCTCAACCGAAGACTGACTCATCTGATCCATGAATTGGTCCAAATATTGTCGGGCATTTGTAGGCCGTTGCACATCATGAGCCCCTTGTGCTTGAATGACAACAATAGCCTGTTCAATCTGATGAGGTGGTAGGGCCGCAGTAGAATGCTCACTTAGGGTAGAATGTTGGACGTGAAGCTGGGGCACACCTAGGGCTGGACACTCCACCATGAGATTGCCAACCTTTACATTAATGATAGGTTATAGAGTTGGTGAAGTATGAAAAGTCTCCTCAGCCACCTCCAACAGAAATTCCACAGGAGGAATTAGAGAACCTTCATCTTGAGCATTATGTGGAGGCTGAGTAGTTAAAAGATTGCCTGAGGGGGTAGTGGAACCTATAGCAACGTCGGCCAGTGGACTAGATGGTATGGTTACCACAGTGTTATTGGGGGCAGAGATATCTCTGTAATGAACAAGAGTGTCACTAACTTGGAGAAGATTAGGAGGAGGGATCTCTAAATTTGGCTGAGCACTTTGCTTTTTTGGTTTTAGATGGGGTGTAAGTGGTGACATACATACATACATACAAACATACATACAAACATATATATATATATATATATATATGT